CGGCACTTTGGCATTCCTCAGCGTTCCCAACTTGTTTTTCTGCGGTCTTGGCTCTTTTTGGGGGATTTTCAATTATTAGCAACGCCTAACGAATGCCAATTTTCCAAGAGGCTTTCGGTTTCGATTTCTGTTTGCATAAAATCATTTTTACCGCAGGGCACGGAAGTGCATGCGGTTTCAGCCTTTCGTGTGCAATTTGGGCCACGGAACCAACCGACCGATCAGAGAGCCGTTCTAAATTTTTAAGAATATCTACACTTTTATTGTTTGCTCTTTCGACAGGGTCAACAAGTTAATCACATTGTGTGGCATGGCTATAATAGAATTCTTATACATATTTTTTTTTACAATTTTTCACCGGCTGCTGTTCGGTTTTGGCCTGGCTTTTTGCTGGGCACCGCGCACGCGTTTGGTTTGCTTTTTGGGCCTTAATAAGACAACGGCACGGCGGCTGCCGGCACGGAAATTGACGTTTAGAACGATCGAAGGGGGCAGCCAAGTTGGCCAGCTGGCTTGGCCTTTTTCGGTTAAGAAGTAAGTACGCTTTAGCCTTTGGCGTTCAAATTGGCAAATTAAGTCATACGCCTGCCCGTCCGCTGCACAGTCCAGCAATTTATCTCCTTATTTTTGTTCTTGTTGGTATTTTTACTGCAGCATTATTTTGCAATAATTATTGATTTATTGTCTTGTTGGCTGGTCCCATTGGGTTTTGGGGCAAACAAAAAAAATCAAAGAGCCGCCAAACAAAGCCATTATCACATGCATGCGAAAACTTGGAACAGTTCTCTTTGCCAGGTTCCCAGGCTTGAGGGTCTAGGTTGGCTGGAAATCATTAGTAAACGTGGCTAATGATGGGCTGGCCTGCAAACTTGGACCTGGTAATTGGAAAGGCACGCACATTAGGGCGTAGTCGATTTTTACGGCTAGAAAGTGAGGCAATTAACTGGCGGCGGGGCAGATACGGAAAATCGCTGGAACTCAAATTGAAGACCTCGGACCGACCTTTCCCTTTGGCTACCAGGCGTGTTGGCCATATTAATATTTCACGCCTTCCAATATCGAGGCCTTAACTAGTGCAGAATCTGGAGTTGAAAGGTGAATGAATATCTCTGACTGAATGAGATAAATACGGAACTAATCTCGGGCAATGGGAAAAAAATAAGTTATGGGAAAGGTTTTCTACCTTTTTACGTTTAACTTCTATCAAGGAAAAATGGATTGGAAGAGGTAATAATATAAATTCTATATAAATCATTCAATTATCTACACATTTCACTGTCATAATTCGTCGTTCTATTCCTGATAATTTCAATTTTGCATATCCTCCGCCAAAAGCTCCTCCTTCTTGGCCAGTCAAACCAGTTTTTCACCTGGACATGTCCATTTTTCACCTTACCCATCGAATACAAAAAAAAAAAAAATAAATTAAATTGAAAAATATTTGTAACGCCTTATTATGGAAAATGTGTAGCACACATTTGTTAGGCCATTCGGTGGAAACAATTTCCATTTCCATTTCCCGACTCCCATCCATTCGATTCGATTCGATTCGATCCGACTCTCCTTGTTGCAACTTTTCGCTGCGCTTTCTTGCCGTTCACGTTTGTGGCATGAATAAACCCACTTATCTAATTGCGATTCCGGGAACTGGTTTTCCTTGATACATTTTTCTCAACTCATTAGAACTCAATCATAACTCGGGACGGGACTTGGACTGGGACTCGTTTGCTTTTAGCTTGTCCATAGCTTGGCTTTAGCTTCGGCTTTGGCCGCTTTTGCCCCCTCTCCGTTGCAATAGGCAAATGTAATCGTTGCTACATATATTTTTTTTCCTTTTCAGCCGACGCGCGCAATTGTTGCCGTGAGCAATTTTTTATAGCCAGCCAACGAGGCAGCGCCAACAACAACAACAACAACAACAAGTTAGCCAGTAACCAGAAAGGCAAAAATAAGAAAAGAAAAAAAAAATATTGAGAAAAGAGCAAAACACGCCGGACGTGTTCCATAAACAACACTTTGATTACGACGACGCGGGCGCACAAACGCAAATCGATGTTTTCATATGGAAATTGAATCAAAGTCAAGTCCCGAGCTCCGCTCTCAGTATCCAGAATATGGAGCACGGCAGCAACTAGCAACATGTGTACCCGGTTTGGGGGCTGCAATTGAAGCTATACACTGAGAACAATTTGTGTTTTCTTAGGTTTTAGAAAAGATTTACAGAGAATGAAAGATGAGAATTGAAGAATATCCAAATTTTAAGAAGAATCTTTGGAAAAAATCAACATTGATCATTTTCTAAGCTTAAATATAAGAATTAGCGAGATTTGATATTATCATCTTATCTTAAAAAAAACTAGATAAAAAACCCCTTATTTTCCCTGTGTAACCATGGATCCGTTGAAGCTTGAAACTTGGAGCCAGCCCAATTGGCCTTGATGTGAGCCGAGAGTGGGACCATGGCGTCAGCGCTTTTGTGGCCGCCTTTTGCCAGTAGCCAAAGATTTTTTGAAAGACGAGAGAAGCGAGTGGGGGCCGATCAAGCCCCTGGGTTGGTCTTTTGTGGTTTTAGCTATGATTATTAATCAATTCTTTCATATCACTTCGACTCTGACTCTGACTCCGACTTCGACTGAATTGAATTCTTTTTACGAATCGTTTAAAAAAATGTGAGTACAAAGGTAGCTAAAGACTGCTGCGGCTACGGCTGCTGTCTGGCAGCCTTTTTACTCTAATTAATTCAACAAAAGTTTCTGGGCCGCCTTTTGTCCAGAGTTTTCCGCTTACTGGCTGGTCATTGGTGTTGCTGTTGCTGTTGTTGCTGTGAAAGGTAGCCAGCCATTCATTATTCGGATGTTTATGTTTATTAAATTCCCTTTTAATTACTCCAGTCTACATACGCACGAAGCATTGTAACGCCATTTCAATTGGGAATTAAATGCAAAAAAAATATATACGAAAATGAAAAAAGAAATCATAATAATAATTGTTTATTAATGGAAAATGGCATTTTCGATTGGCATCTGAAAAGGGCAATCGATTCGAGTGGATGTGACCTTAATATGCGATTGCCTATGGTGCCGAGTGAAGGGCTTTGGGATTGGTTAATAAAGATCTTTGATCTAAAATCGAAATAAATTAGCACTGACTTTAATTGCTTATAAAGCTCAAAGATCACTATCTTACGTATTGCCATGCAAATAGATTTCTTCCTTTCACAGGGGACAGGAAACACTTTCCATGTCCCCATGTTTCCAGGTCCCTGAACAGTCTCTGCCACAGGTGTCGAAATTGACAGATGAGCAAAACGCAGGGCAGTAACCGGAACTTGTAGAGCGGACCGAGATTGCAGCAGGGCGTGGCTCCAGTGGTTCTATAAAAGAATCACCATCAAGCCAGGGCCAATCCTATAGCGAAACCCAATCCCGCTGCGGAGTCTGCGCGACTTCAATTTAAATTTTAATCGCATGCCTAATAGACAAACCTGGGGTAAATGTCAGAATAAAGAGACTAAGAGCCGACTTAAATCATGCCAACATTTACAAAGTACTTCGCAGGAGCCCCATCTTTAGGCCAGACTCGTATGAGCCACGGCCAGTCACGGACACGTCGTCAGTTATAGTAGGGGAATGGTCTTGGGTATGGGTATGGTAAGGTATGCTGAAGATGGGCTAAGACAAACTTCCGATCACGTTGTAAGTCAGCAGCGAAATTGAACAGAGAAAGAAATGTAGTTTATGGATTTTTATTACATTTTGATACTATCTATATAGGATAATATCTATACTATCTATGTACTTAAAAATCTGTCAAAACGCCCTTGTTAACATTCTTGGATTTGACACTTTCTTAGGTCTTAGCTCCATAAATACCTAACATTGGCCTTTTACTGATATCTAACAATAAACTTACACTTACTGATCAAGAGCTGAACACAAGTTTCTAGTTAAAAAGTATATAAATTCTACACATTTTCTTTCAGTGCCTCAGACTGAGCCTAAGCCCTGGCAAAAGGGCCGAGTGAGCCAGAGAGAGAGAAAAACTTAATGGAGGCAAATGCATCAAAATGGTTAATTGGATCTGGAACAGCAAATGACGAACACTTTTAGTGTTTATGGCAGTAGCTAAGGCAGAGGCAAAGGCACAGGCCCAGATCCAGGGCCAAGTCAAGATCCAGAGCCAGGTCCAGAAACAGCAAAGGAGATTGCGGCAGATAGGCAAGTGTGTACGTGGATTCGATGGTGATGATGGGAGCTGCGGGAAATCAGAGCGGCAAACAGGGCATATATATATATATATATATAACTTCTAGGAGATGCGGCAAACAGCTCAAGTGGCAAGCGTGTTGTACACGACACGCATTAGCGTGAATGGAGCAGTTCTCGTACTTGCCTTTGCCATTTTTTAATCGAATCGAATGCGTTGAGAGCCGATGCCTCAAACTGAAAACTACAAAACTAAAAAAAAAAAACGTTGAAAACTGCAAACTGAAACTGCAGCTTAGATGGCCAGACAAATGTGAGGGAAAATTAATGGCGAGCTCTGCAGTAATTTCCATTAAAGTGGGCACAGCTCCGAAAATGCACTTGTTGCCGCTGCTTGGCCAGCACCCAGTAAGGCCAAGGAAAACTTCCGTGTTCCTTACCAGACAGCCGGTGGATCGGCGAAATGGTAATGGGCCAATATGATGGCCTCCATGAGCTGCCTAATGGGCCGCTCTATAGAGGTTTTTACTGCGGCATTATGGGGCCCGCCTTAGCAATAGCCTTGTGTGGATTTGGATCTAGTGGTCGATCCCAAAATGAAAACGACTACTTCAAGTTATTTCTTTGTGGTAAAAGAGACTAAGTAAAAGCCATAACAAATAGCTACTTAAAAAGTACAAGAAATAGTACATTCTTTCCTCTAATTCAAATCACCCATGGCAACAGTGTTTGTTTTTAACTCAGCTATTGATTTAATACCTTCCACCCACAACTTGTATCAGTTGATGGGAAAACGCCAAGCCTTCAACATGGATATGGATTGTAAGGTCTTCCATTTCAGAACTTAGTTAAAGTTATAATTTAATATCTCTTTTTTCAGTAAACAACGACTTGGAGAAACGCATATCAGATGCCTTTTGTGTTTTTGATCATCATGGTGACAAGTTCATAGACGTAAGAGAAGTGGGCACTGTCTTGAGACTTCTGGGCTGTGTTCCCACTGAGGAGGAGGTCAACGAAGTTATCTCGGCCACAGAATCGGAGGAGACCAGTGGCGAAGTGCACTTGACCAAGTTCTTGCCACATGTCTCGCAGTTGCTCATGGAAAGAAAGTGAGTAAAAGTCATTCAGCTAGACACTTTTATTATTATCTAATATATGACAGAATGGAACCTGCTCCGCCTGAGAAAATTCTGCAGGCCTTTAAGATTCTAGATCCCGAAAACAAGGGTTATCTCACGAAGGAAAGCTTTGGTAAGCTGATGATGGAAGAGGGTGAGCCCTTCACCCAAGAGGAAATGGATGAAATGTGGCCAGTGGCCATAGATCCTATCAGTGGGCACATACCCTATGAGTTCTACTTGAATCAATTGATGGTAGGGAAACTATATACCTCTAACCAATCAGATCTTTAATGTTTACCATTTTCTACCTTTCAGGTCTACCTGTAAAGTCTCAAAGATACCAGAAACTACCTTATTAAGTCCATAACTTGCTTAGCACCTGTAAAAGGACAAAGTAGAGTTCAATAAAGTCCCGAAATTACACTCGTTAACAGGAAGTTTTTAGCACTCACCGCATTTGCTATTCTGACTATTTCACTAAGCAAATCTCTTTCCACTTTCCACTTTCCACTTGCACTCCCAATCCCTTGCCCGGCCACTTACATTAGCTGCAGAGCCACAAAGAGGAGGAGTGGCAGCTAACTAACCAAACTGGCCAAATGCGTTCCAAAGTAGCCGGTTACCTTAGTTCCCGGCACAGGACACTGGCTTTTCGCTTTTGGTTTTGGATATGGATGTGAATGTGGCTGGGGGATGTGGCAGAGGAGGAGCCAGTGCATCTGGAGTTCTACTTGGGGCGGAACGCTGCAAAGTGGGTTGCGCATCATTAGCACAACTAATGGATGTTCACTTTTCTTACCTGGACCAAGTCGTGTGCTGTGGCGGCCACCTCCTCGCCCAGTGCAATCCAAATTGCAGTCGAGGCTAGAAATTTAAATAAATTAAAATACCTCTCGAAGTGCATTTGTGGTCTAGGGAGTAGTCGTGTTCGGAGTCGTGTTCTCGCTTCCGTATTTATTAAATTCTAAATACGCGCTGATGGATGCACTTAACTGCATCTTATGGATTAAAATATTTCATGTAATACTGCCTTTTACCATCTGCATCCTGCATCTATCTGCACGTTCTGGCGCTTTGGCCAATTTGAGTGATTGCATTGCGCGAATTTAAATGGATGCTGAGTTGGTCAGGAACAAGTTCTACGTGCGGCTTCTAGCTGGCTCTGACTCTGAGACTGAGACTTAGACTGCTGCCTAATGGACTTTTAATCTTTACAACTTGTAAAAATTTCGTTTTTGAATTGCGCCGACCAACGAGCCTGATTGTCAGAGTCATAAAGAGGCTGCTAACTGCATAGAACAGATATTAGATTTCCTCCAATGACCCTGCACTTGGCGAATAAGTTTTACTACTGAAAATGCTTTAAAAATTATGGAAAATGTGGTATAAGATTAGCTGATTTTCACTTTAAGACTCTGTTATTTTAGTTTTCCAACTTGTCTGCTTTGAAATCTTGAAACATAATTAGTTTTAGTTTCTTGTTTTTCCAAAATTCCTTCTTTTAGTGCATTCTTGGCTTGACTTAAGCAAACCCCCTGAATTAGATTTAAGAATATGATTAAGTATGAAAGCCAACCCAAATCAGACAGTAGTCAGTCAGACTGGAAGCGGAGAAGATCGTAAAAAGTCGCCGAACAAATTGTCAAACTTCAGCGGAGCCTTTGGCTGAGGAACTCGAAGCTACGCTCCGCATGAATCAATTCATCCTGAGTTGCTGAGGCCAAAAAGCCGAGACTGGGGGCTCCTCCGGCTGATGATGATTTACGCTCGACGAAGCGTAATTAAGATTTATGCTCCACACTCACTTGCAATATATATTTGCTATATACTTTCCACACATTATGCACATACATAGCTGGGTATTTGAGTTTATGAGTACCAACGGCTTAATTGTTAGTTATGCGCTTTTGTTTGTGCGACATTAAAACTAATTAAGTAGAAAGAGTTCCTATAAGATTTATATGCCTCAATGATTGCCAGTTATTACAAGTGTATAAGAGTGTGTGTGTGCCTGTTGCAAATTAAAGCAATTAGTTGCATTTTATGACAATGGCCAGAAAATAGCAGGCCCCCAAGCCAATTCGCCAAGGAATAAAATATGCATTTACGACCCCCCAAGGGCCTCTACCTAATGAGTGGGCGGTGGCAGGGCAGGGTGGTGGCAAATGTTTATGCACCTTGATTGATATCAGCCGAAGGTTGTTTTCACAATTCAGATATTATGAATTAATTATTAGCATTAATTGATTGCCGAGGCATTTGTTTTCTTATTACGAGTTACGAGTTAACTACGAAAATAGACCCTTGCTTTGAGAAAGTGGTTTTGATGATATTAACTTATACTTTGGTTTGATTCTTCTTCAAGTTGCTGAAAATATATCACATTTTCACTTTAATATCTACACTTCCTTGCATATTTCCGTATTTTATTAAACCAAAAAGGTTCTCCTGACTTCCCCTGCTTTTCATAGGCTCAACTTCCCCACTGGCATTTTCATTTTCCATCGCCATCAGCTCGAACTTTCAATCAACTTTCGGTTTACCTACGCCTGCAGAGGCACTTGTTTTGATGCCTGCCCCGAATTAATGGCAAGCCTCGCTTTCGTTACTGTTGCCCCAGAGAAATGTGCAACTGCAACTCCAATTCGGAATCTGGGTTTAGTGCATTCGTAAAAACAGCTGCATATCCCAGAGAATTGAGAACTGAGAACTGAGAACTGAGAACTGGGTAAATGAAAGCCCAAGCAGGCTCTTGTAATTTTGATTTCGAGTGCGGGACTCGAGGAAACTCTGGCCGCCGTTAATTGAATTTAAGCAATAAAATATAATTTGGATTTTTGCATGTAAAGCTGGCGCGTAGCACGCCGAAAAGGGAAACCCAAATGGAAAGTCAAAGTTGGCCAAGAGAAACAGAATCCAAGGTAAGGACTGAAATTGCAGAAAGGTGAACAACATGCAATTGATGGGGCCGAGTCAGGGGAAAAGCGAAACAAAAAATAAAACACAAAAATAAAGAGCGTGGCCAGTGGCATGCAGTCTTTATTGTTGCAGCAGCCGTCGTCGTCGTCGTCGTCATCATCCGACGTCGTCGCTGCCATGTACAACACCCAAAGGTATCAGCAGACAAAATGCTAAAAATGTATTTACCACAAAGGCAACGCGGCGTCGTTGAGCTTGCCTCATTGCTGCAGTAGCTTTTGCTTTTGCTGTTGCTTTTGGTTTTACTTTTGCTTTGCCTTTGCTGCGGCTGCGACGAGGACTGCGGCTGCCCTTAATGGATCTGCAGCACTTTGAGTGATTTATTTCACACGTTGATGAAATGGACAGCAATGGGCCGCATTTTGACGTTTATTGCAGCAGTGGCAATGGCCGCAGAAGCAACAGCCAGAGCAACAGCAACAACAGCAAAAGGCGACCAGTGCCCACGGCATGTGTTCTGCGCATGCGCGCAGCCCTTTTAACAGCGGCGACTGAAGCGGAGACGGCAACCAAGCTGGAGCCAGGTTATAAAAGGAACCTATTGAGGCACTCTACTGATGCCCTTTTTCTCTGAGGTATAAACTCTTTGAGTGGGCTAGGGTTTAGTACACATTTTACTAGCTGAAAACATATTTCAAGCCTATTTTCAGGGTTAAGAAGGGTCAACTTGGAACTAATTATTCTACTTTGGGTAGTCTTTTCTATAGATTGGGTTACAGATTCAGCTTTTCTATAAAAAAAAACCGTTATTTAAGACCTTTTAGTTCCTAAGATTAAAGATGCTTTAGCTTTAGAAGTTTATGTCTTTCAACTTAAACTTCCCTTCAACGCTAGCTTCAACAAAGAGCATTCAAAAGTCAGCCTTATCTCTCGTTTTTCATAACATTTTGCTTTTCTTAATATTTTCCCTTTTTCCTGTATTTTTTTCACATTTTTTTTGCAATTGCATTGGGAGCCTCGCACGTCTTTTGGTAATAGCCCCGCGGACCGTGCGCTCTTTAATGAGGCGCGCTCCTCATTTGGACGCCACGCATTTTGTAGTTTTGTAGCCGTTTACCAGCCGGCGGATGTGGGCCTCCGCTTGGAGCAGAGGGGCAGCTATTAAAACATTTAATTGCAACTTAATTAGTTGAAGGTCTGGCAGAACATTTCTCTCGAAAGCCACTTGACGAAATGCACAATATTTGACCCCAAAGAAAAGCCTTTTCTTCGCATTGCGACCCACTCACGGAAAAGTCATTGAGCATTGACAAAGCCATCCCCCCCAGGAAAAGTCAATTTAGCACATTCACTACGCCTCTTAAATTGTTGATATTTTAATTAGTTACGCTCTAAAGGATTCTCCACAGCCAAGTCAAGGTTTCACCCACTCCCAAAAAAAAAGATATCCAGCGACTTGGCCGGGTCCACAGCCTGGATCATCAACTAAGCCAAAGACGACGACGGGGCCAGGCAGCTGGAGAGGAATAAAGTGCCAAAGGGCACACATGGCACACCGAGTTTCTTGGCTTTTGTGGCTTTTGTTTTTAGCCATAAACAGGCTATTGGTGTGAGTTACCAGTTTGCAGAGGTGGAGACATGAGGGGGTAGTCTTGCAAGTCCTCTTAAGTTTTATATTTTGCCTAAGAGAGCCCTTAAAAAATGAGATATATTTCTAAAAAATCCTACTAATTCCTCCCCCTAACTTTCCCCTAAACTACGCTCCTGACTCCAGAGCTGCATTCACCCATATGCCAACCTACAGAGTTTTGTTTTCCCTCATCGGTTTTTGTTTTGGTTTTATGACAGCGCGCCCAACTGTGGCAATAAGTTCAAATGCCAGCCCAGAGACCCGGCGACTAAATGCACGGCTTAATGTGCAACTTAGACACTGAGGCACTGACTGGCAGGAAAACTCAGGCCAAAGCCGACTCCAGCTCAACCTCAAGAGTCAAGCTCAGGCGGACAAAGGTTCCTTTTCCGCTGGCAGTGCCAAAACCAAACAAAAAAAGTGGGTGTAGCGGCACCAAATGCCATTGCCAACTTTTTCGGTCCAAAAGCAACGCCAACGCATCTCGTGAGGATCCAAGCAGCTCAGCATCTCCACCTTCACATCCTCTCCAGTGCTGATTTCTACTAATTTGATTAAACAGATTGACTTTAATAAGGTTTGTGGCAACAACAACAAGATATACAAAGAAGAGAAATGCCACAGCACTTGACTGAGTCGGCAACAAATGTTGCCTAATTCAAGTGCCGCATTTATTTTGTAAACATTTCACATGGCTCTAGGTTTTTCCCCATTCGCACGACTTGTTGTGATACAAAATATGCCGGTTGAGCAGTGATAGCACTTGAGAATTGCCCACACAAAAGGCTCCAATCCCAATCCCAGGCCCGATCCCGATCCCAAGTTGGACCTAGAACAACCCAATCAATGGCCCCAGTGCTCGTCCGTGCAATGTGCGTTTTGTGTGCACTTATGCGATCATTTGTTAAGTGTCATCGCGCCGGCATATGGGCAGGAAAACGACTCGAGAACAGCCGCAACATCAGCAAACTGGGCTGCAGGGGAACTTTGTCTCCGGCATCGCAATATTGTGATGCCCTTCGTTTATTTTAAAAGGAAGCTTGGTTCAGGGAGGGTATATGATCTT